TTTTAAATCGGACCATTTCCCTTAATACAGGGGGGTTTAAAACATAAAAATGCATAGAGAAACTAGAACTTTTTCAACTTAATTTTTAAAAGTGTTCCGGAAATACTGACACTTTATATTTATCTTAAATTAAAACTTATGTAATATAATTTAATATTAAAAAAAAAAAATTTGGACTTTATTTTGTCTTCACAGTGAAAATGGCTATCAAATGCTATTTTCGTGTGAAAATTCTCGATTTTATATTTTACATTTTTAACTTTATAATGCTATAACTTATTGAAAAGTGTATGGATCAATATAATTTTTTTATGAGAAATACTATTTTTTAATAATCCCTTTTTCATTCGACACATTTTTTCTTAATCAGGTTATTAATAAGGAACTAGCAGTTTATGAAGCTTTTGGAATAATCAACCAATTTTTTAAAATTAAACATTATTTAAAAATTTGCATTGAACCTTTTTTTTGATAGTGATTTTAATCACTGTCAGATATCATTATACTTGATCCAACTATGCCACGTTACCACTGTGCCACGACTCCCTTTCATATTTTATGCTTAATTATTAGTAAACAGATAGTATCATTCTCACAATATATTATATTGTGAGAATAAGATAATGATTATAATTCTAGATACAAAGTATTATAAAAAGGCAGTGCAAACCCTTACTCTGGTAAGTTCTTATCGTACACGAGAGTATATTACGTGAATAATAAGGAAAATGACATATTTATCCTATTTTTTTAATCCTGTAAAGTTGATTTTTTTTTTGAAAGTTTATAACAAAAAAAAAAAAAATTTATTTCTAATTTTTGATATTATTACTAATTACATATATAATAATAATTAAAACAAAATAAAAAATTTGTTTAAAATTTTTACTGATTATGATTTCTAATATGTTAAAAATAATCAGTCCAAAATTTCATTTTTAACCTATTTTATTGGTTCTTTAAATTCGATGAAAAATTTTTGATAAAGTTTTGTGAAAGTTTATAGTAAAAATAATTGATAATGTTACCATAACTTTTAGCTCAACTTGCAAGTTTAAAATTGAAATCATTAAATAGAAAATTTTATGAGAATTTAAAAAATTGTATCGTTAAGTTTAATATGCAGTCAGCAAATATTATAATTATTATGTATCAGAAAGCTTAATATTTTTTTGTATTTTTATCGTAATAGATAACTTAAATAGAAATAATAGTAATCATTTTCCAATAACTTTTGGTGTTTAACCGTTTAGCAGGAGCGTGCCTATTTTTATCGTTCATAGTCGCGTGGATGTCTATTTGACCCCATTTCTAATAAAGTATAAAATATGTATAAAAAAGTTTATTTTTTTTAATTCAAAGACATTTTTTGTTACCGTATGATATATAAATATGGATGAAAATCCAAAAATAAAAATTAAAAAGTAAATAAATTATAAAATCATGTGCATTACTAAAAATTATATTACGAAAAAAAAAAAACTTAATTTTCAAATTATTTCATTAAAAAATTTTGGTTTGTAAAAAAATTATTTTAACTGCAAAATCTTATTTTTAAGACGTTAAACAAAAGTTTTTACTATTACAAAATGTATTTGAATTAATTTTTCTTGTATTACTTTGAGCTCAAACACGGCTTATATTTATTAGTTTTATATGTATTTACATTTATATAATCATTTTTCTGAATTGAATTTTTTCATTATTAATATTATAATATATTTAATTATTATTATTATACAAGTATATACAATTATTCGTTTGTAGTAGCACATCAATTACCGCTAATCAATGTGTCCACATTACGCGATGTATTTATTACATGTTTTATTTGTTCCGTATCATCGATTAGTGGATATTCAAATAGATTATTTATTTTTAAAACTTAATTGCACAGTCGGTGGCAGATTCACGTAATTCCAATTACACAATATTATATCGATTACAACATTGCATTTACGATAAAACGATATTTTGAAAAAAATAAAAGTCCACAAAAAATATGATAACGTTACAAGTCGCATGGGGGTCAATATGACCCATTTCAACATTGATGGATATTTTATGTCATACATTTTTTTTTCGAAGGTATTTATTTATGAAAATCGATTCAATATTACTATAAAAACTATCTTCTAAATTTATATCTATGTATACCTTTTATGCAATATAATACATCCGTTTTTATTTATGTGGGCGTATGTTAAACCCTCACGCGACTGTTTAAGGGTTAAAAAGGTATTAGAATAATTAATAATTGAAATACCAACTATATGAACTGAATGAACTGAATTAATTTTAATAATTTACTATGACTAAAAAAACCAATAAAAAAAAGTTATTAAAAAGATCTACTCAATAGAGCGTAATATAAATTTTCATTATAATTAAAAAAATCTATTGTTAATTCATGATAAATTAACAATACTTTTTTTTTAGAAATGATTTATATAGCAACATATTACCAAAAAATTGGAATATTATAGTCTAGTAGTATCACACAAATAGAGTAAAAAAATTATTAAATTACAAAGTAAAATTATATAATTTTGTAGTTGAAACCTATTATATCAAATTATCATACCAAACTTGATTCGTCAATAAATACTTTGAAAATATTATAAAACAATGATTCTAATTGTCTGTATGGAGAACATGGGATAAGTAATTGTTTAATTGATAAATTAGAGTTTTTTTACAATTTTTGAGGGTAATATCTTCAACTAGATACGAATTATAATTTTTTACGATTTTTTTCACGGAAATCGTACGTTTTTCTTTAACTTTGATGTCCGTTTTAATAGTGTCATTCTTTCAGGAACATTTTCAAAAGTTAAGTTAAAAAAATTAATTTTTATGAAAATTTTGCCAACCTAAATTTAATTCAGGTGAAACTAAAAATCATTTTTTTTGTTAGATTTATGAAACATGTTACAAAAATAATTGGAAATTTATAGATGGTAGTAGCACACGTGTAGTATAATTTTTAACACATGTACTATATAACATATATATGAATAAAGCAAAAAAATCATCTAACCAATGTTTCCCTTTTAACCACGAAGACAAGTCAAGAGATTAAATTTTTTTTTTTCAAATTAAAGTATATTACATAAGCTTCATTTAAGATATATATAAAAGTGTCAGTCTTTTCGGAACATTTTCAAAAGTCAAGTAGAAAAAGTTAATTTTTTATGAAAATGTTGCCAACCTGAATACCTTCTTATGGGCGAGTAAAGAGTCAAATGTTCACAAAAATATATCAAATGATAGTGAAATATCTAAGGTATCTATAAAAAAAATTTAATTGATTCCGTCATTTTTAAAAAAGTTATGGCCGTTTTAAGTAAAAAAAATTGAAAAAATGTTGAAAATTACTGATTTATTAATTTGTAATTTTTTGGGGTATTTCTCCCACTTACGAGGAAAGAGAAAATATTTTTCAATTTTTGAAGGTTATGTCTTTGACTAGATACGATTTGTAATTTTTTGACGTATTGTTCATTAAAATCTCTCCTGTGAGTACTTGATGTCGATGAATCAAGCACCACATAGATCTATAATTAATTTATAAGTCTACAATTATTCCTACAATTAATATTTAAAGTCATATGGCCATGTATAAAAATATTCTTTCTCATTTCGTAAATTACCATGCATAAATAGAACAGCGTATTTTTTTATTTGTCTGCTAATAATTGTAATGAATCAAAATAGAAGTTTCGAGAATATTCAAGAAACTTCTAGAATAATTTTTCCACATAAATAATTATTAATTTTAAATACTTTTCTGACTCACAATTATTTCATTACATTTTACAAATATATCGCTCATTCGGAGCAATGTTTATATTAATGTCAATCTTTTTAATTACCATAAGCGTATTTGTGGCGCCAAACAGACGGCAAGATAAAATAGTTAAATTCTAAAGAAAAACTAGCCTCCCTTCATCACCTTACCAACTAGTTTAATATAAAAGGGCTATTATTCTTTCATATTAAATTAATAATGTAAAATTCATGTTACTTTTGTCAACCTTAATTATAAGTTTTACACATTTGTTAAAATAATTAATACAAATCATAGAAATAAACTCAGTATGTTGCCACTCATACCAGTATTTTTATTTATTTAAATTAACTTTAAATATTGACGTCAATAAAGAACAACGCAATTTAGCATCTATCTACGAATCCATCTGGATATCAAGATAAGTGTAGTCGTAAGACATGCCTTATATTTATGTAATATTAAGATATAGAATAGAGCGGGTGAGAGGTAGGATTAAGACTATAAGAATGAATCCAACATTATCCATATAACTTATAACCCTTCCACCTACTCTTCGTTTTACTTTTTATTACATAATTTAAACCTATATAAAGTATTCAATTATTTTCAATATACAATTTTTTATTTTCATTTCACCAATAAATATGGAAATTATTAAAGATTAAGCTAAAATATTATTCTTGAAATACTTTTTCATTCATATGTTTTTTGAAAACAATGATCAATATTAAAAAACTTACTTATTTTGAAAATTATAATTTTGAGATTTTATGATACTGAATTATCCAATATAATTATTCCACTAGGGAAGGGGGGTTCTTATTTTTCATTATGACTATGAGTATGATGAAATTAAAAATAAATGGCTTTTTAGGTATTAAAAATAAACTGTAAGCATAATGTTTGTACTTGATATTATTTAAAAAATCCTATAACACTTTTTGGGACAGCATTAAAATTACAATAATTAATACTATATATATTTTAATACTGAAAAAACCTTACGATAAATAATTAAATATATTTTATTATATATTTTTAATTTTAAACATCAACATTAAATCAATAGTTTTACAAGTATTTTTAAAATTATTTAAAAAACTACACACACCTTATTCATATATATTTTTTGCTATAAATATATACATAAAACATATATAATTAACTATTATCAATTTAAACACTCCTATTACATGAAATATTTTTGATTACATAAAAAATTTGAAAATGAAAATTGAATTGTTAATATTAATGTTTTTTATTAAAAGTATAACATTTGAAGTTGGACTTGTTGATTGTAAAATATATAATGCAGATCTACAAAAACAGTATATAACATATTTTAAACAAGTAATGAATCACTTACGAAATCAAATAATAAAATCAAATCTGTATCACATATCAATAAGGAGTGAAAATGACAAAATAATGAGCATACAAGAAACTCTAAAAAATAGATTTTATGGTATTAATTATTCAATAAAAATATATTATATAATAGTTGAATTAATTAACTATCTATTTATTGAAGGACTAAAACAATTTACTGAACACTTAATGATCATTATAGATAATTGTGAACATTTTTTAAAAAAAAATTTATTTCAAATCGCAATTTACTGCATTGTAGTACTTTTAAATGCAGTTAAAAAATCAAATGAAATGTTTGAATATTTATACAAAGCGATAACATTTATTGATTACTTAGATATGAAAATACTGAATATTTCATTAATTCATAGAAAAACGGTAGTAGAAGAAATTTATACCGTTAAAAATTATACTTATAAAATGAAAACGTCAGAAATTATAAATTATGTAAATAATGACGAAAGCTTTAAAATTGAAAAAGCTAAAGAAGATTACAAAGAAATCAATAATTTCGTTAATAATATAGTTGTAATAACACGTGAATTTTTTAAAAACAATATTAATATTATAAATAATACAAGGGAATTGAATTTACGAGAATATTACTATGGTAAATACATTACTAATGATTATAATATGGAGTTTGTCGATTTTATTAGTGAAAATTTAAACAATTACTATTTAAAAACGATTGATGACTATTACTTCAAAATTGGATTCTATGAATTACTTCATCCTAGTACAGCTGAGTAAGTGTTATTATTAGTAAAGATATTGTTTTCTCACTATAAAAATTATATTAAAATAAATAATTTACATTGATTTTTTTTTATTTAAGCCTCATACCCCCTCAGAAGAACATCTTTCCTCAATATAGAGCGATTGAAGTACTAAATACTTTGTTCCACAAAGGGAATTGGGAGCTATTGAAACATATAAGAATTATAGTTGATGATGAAATAATCACTACTAATCGAATTATTAGAGATACTGTAAATGATTTTAATTTTAGTCTAAAAAACAAATACTTTACTCTAATGATGCGATGCAGATACACTGAAATATTAAAAAATTATAATACATATATGTCCGCAGTATTACAAATATGCAAAAATGAAAAGATTAAAAGTAATTTAAAAGACTTTGTTGATTGTATTATTAATTTTCTTGAAGCGGTTCATGATTCAAAAGAAATGTTTAAAAATATGTTGATAGCTTTAGATATATTAAAAGCTGAATCAATTTGGGATATAAAGTGTTATGCACATACATCATTAACTCACACATATAATTTATTAACTATTTTTTTGCTCGAAATTGAACAGCTTATGTTAACAAGAGATAGAATTGTCAATCTATCTTTGAATGAAGTAGAATTAATATCCGATGAATTATTATTACATATCGTTAAAACAAAATATAACTTTAATCAAAATATACATAAACTAAGTCGTTTTATCAATCAACGTTGCTCCATTGAAGTTTTAGAAAAATATCAATTAATAAAATCATGGATGAATGAAGTAATGTTATTGAATATTAACATTATAGAATGTCCAATACTTATATATGAATACGCATTAAATAAATTTACGACATTTTGTGATATTGCTATTACAAGTGAATTCGATTATTTAGGTTTTAATAAAATAATTAGAAATAATTAAATATGTTTGTAAAATGTATTACAAAATTTATGTAGAAATATTTAAATACAATTTTTAATTATTATCAGGATAAAAATTTTTAGTAAATTAAATTGTTGATGAATCATATAATATTGCATTAGCAAACATAATTTATTAGCATTTTTTAGTTACTTATTAAATGTAAAACCTATATGTTTAGCTATATGTTTATAGCATAATTCATAAAAATATTTCCATATCAATGTACTTATTCTTTTTAAGAGAATTTTAGTATAAGTATTATTTTTTAATTCATATTCAATTAGTTTAGTAATTGATAATAAATAGAAAAATCTTAAGTCAAAGATACTAAAATAATCACATAATTTAAATGGATGTTCGTTGATGAATTATTTTTATAATAAATTATAAAATTGTGAAGAGTTGCTTACTTGTTATTTTAATGGAAATATCGCATCTCGTCTTATGAAACAAAAACATATTTTTTAGCGTAATAAAAATGTATTATCAATTCTTTTCATTTAATTTGTCTTTAATTTCTTTCAAGAAAAAATTTGTGTGTTTTACATATGAACGGGCGGGGGCAACATTTGTTGACACGGCCACGGCGTTGTCACACGTTTGACACACCTCGGTCGTGTCAGCTCCTTCACAGCCACCGCTCCACTGTAAACCGGACCGTTACACACACGCGTTATCGTCGTGGTGTAAAGTCCAATAAATGCCTAGAGTCGAATACCTGCCGCAATAATACGTCCAGGAAGTCATCTCCGTGACACCGATACTGACGTGTGTACTTTTCTCGTGAGTACCAACAGAAGCAACAGAACTACGAACATCATCAGTTTCTGTATACATAAATATATATATATATATATCTCATCGCCATTTACATATTTTATGGTTTCCGGATTATTTTCTTTTTGTTGTGACAATTCTAAGTTTTATAAACACCTAATAAACGACACGACGTCTGTTAAAACTTAAAGTGTTGTGTTTACTTAATTATTAACTCACCTTGATGCGAGTTCGATGTTATACCTATCGCAACAATGTAATGTTGGACTGTATTTGAAACTTCTTATAATTTGATATAATTAAAAAAAAAAATTTTTATGCTTATCAAGATTGATAAGGTTGAGAAAAATCGATCCAGTGAACTGAAAAAAAGTAGTGACCCAAAAAAATAAATAAAACCAAGCCTACAGGGGTCGCAGCACAGTGAGGACGTGATATAGTTGGTTCCAAGATGATGATATCTGACAGTGATTAAAATTACTATCATATAATGCTTTAATGCAAATCTGTAGATAGTGTTTAATTTAAAAAACGGTGGCACAGTGGGGTCGAGGCACAGTGTGGACGAGGCATAGATGGGACAAGTATAGATGATATCTGACAGTGATTAAAATCACTATCATAAGAAACGCTTCGATGCAAATCTGTAGATAGTGTTTCCTTTAGAGAAATTGGTGAAATATTTTAAAAGCAACATGAACTCTTATTTCTTTAATTATATCCTGATTAGTAGTTCTTTGATTTTAAAATATAATATATGAATAAATACTAATTATAGTTTTTAAATTTAGTATGAAATTGTGAGGCCAGCTATGATGTATGGTTCATAGTGTTGGGCGGTTGATAAGAAAGTAGAGCAGAGAATAAGTGTAGCAGAGATGAGAATGCTTAGTTGGATGAGTGGAGTGACTAGAGAAGATAGGATAAGGAACGACTATATAAGAGGAAGTATAGGTGTTGCGTCAATCGTGGATAAGATGACAGAAAATAGACTTAGATTGTTTAGTCATGTTATGAGCAGAGGAGAATTGGAATCTGTAAGAACAGTAGAAATGAATTTTGAAGGAAGAGGTAGAGGAAGACCAAAAAAGAGATTGAGGGATGTTATTGAATGCGACATGAGGACAGCTGATAAGAGCGTAGAAGATGTGGGAAATCGTGTCAAGTGGAATCTTAGGATAAGGGTGCCCGACCCCAAGTAGTTGGGATTAAGGCAAAGAAAAAGAAAAATATTACCAGAAATTCCGGTGGCAATTGACATAATATGATTGTTGTTTCGGAATGTACAATTTAGCGTTTAGTTGGGTTTAAATAATATAGCGTCAAATCAATTACCTA